AAAAAAAAAGAACAGTAAGGTAGGGTAAAGGGCTGGTAGCCATGGTGATGGGAGTGCAGAGGCCAGAAGACAGAAGCACTGACTAGACAAGAATGAAACTATAGCCTGGGATATAATCTAATTGTATTCAGCTATTGAGCTTGGCCGTGGATTGGTACTAGGGGTTCATAGGGGTGTATGAAGAGGGTTTTGAGTTCCTCTAGCAAGGGCAGACAGGCACATATGGGCATAGCTCTAACACATAACACTGTGATCTGTGCTAAAAAAAAAAAGCACAAAGGATTATAGCATGAAGTGGAAAGGAAAAGCCCGTAGCAATTCCCCAGGCCGATCTGCATAGAGCAGCAGGGCACCGATGCGTGTGTGTGACTTTTGCAGAGAAGTCACATTCCAAAGACTTCTAGGTACAGCTGAAGGAGACAGAAATGAATAGTGTCGAGTGGGGAGATGAGCAGTATCATTTTCAAAGAGAAAGCAAAGTATAGCTCATTGCTCTCTGTTCTCTCTGTTTCCTTTCACCCGGCTCAGTCAAGATGTCACTCCATGTTGTTCTTGACGACTTATGTCAACATTTTAAAATTGGTAATTTACTCCCCCTCCCCGCCCCCTGCCCCCTGCTGTCCCATGTCATACCCCCCCACTCCCCTCCCCCATCTCCCTGTCTCACTTAGTTATCTGTTCTTTAGATGAATGCTGTGGGATGGTCTGTATGTCAAATTGCTCTGATTGGTCAATAAATAAAACACTGATTGGCCAGTGGCCAGGCAGGAAGTAGGTGGGACAAGGAGAGAGGAGAGTTCTGGGAAGCAGAAGGCTGAGGAGAGACACTGCAGCCACCACCAGGAAAAGCAACATGTAAAGACGCCGGTAAGCCACCAGCCACGTGGCAAGGTATAGATTTATAGAAATGGGTTAATTTAAGCTATAAGAACAGTTAGCAAGAAGCCTGCTACAGCCATACAGTTTGTAAGCAATATATAAGTCTCTGTGTTTACTTGGTTGGGTCTGAGCAACTGGGGGACTGGCGGGTGACAAAGATTTGTCCTGACTGTGGGCAAGGCAGGAAAACTCTAGCTACAGATGAAGGAAAGTGCAAGCAAAAAAGGGAGGGAAAGATTCCCCTAACTTTGAATTTCAAAGCCCAGGCCTTAAATGGGGTAGGGGAGGGCAGAAAATGTTTGATGAGGTCCTGAGAAGATAGTTCGGTGGGTAAAGCTCTTACTACCTAAGTTTGAGGACCCGAGTTCAGATCCCGAGAACCAACATAAGGAACATAAAGACAGATGTATCCCTAGGATACTCAGTGTGGGGAGTTAACATTGAAAGGGCTTTCGAGGTTAAAACAAAACAAAACACCAAACCCAAGTAGCACTGCTACAATCGCCTAGGGTCTGATCTATTCAGACATGTTGGTTGGTTTATTACATTGGTGATTTCATTCTATCCTCAAAATAAGAACAATATTTAAGAAACGAGTTTTTGCCAAAGAAGTTGAAGCTGACAGGATAAAACTTTTCCTCTCATAGAGTGGACATATCTGAAGGTGCAGTCGAGAAATCATGTTATTTTGGCGCAATTGTTGTAATTTCCAGATGTCAACCTGTTTGCGGCACTAGAAGGACATCATAGGATGTGTGCGCAGTTGTTGAGGTGAGGATGGCAGCCTGCACACAGTGGTCATGGTCACAGCAATCACAGAGACAGAGCAATAAACACACACAGGCTCGGAGTGAATGCTGCAAAGCCTGGTTCCTGGTAAGTTATGGACAAGGGTATATCTACACCATGGTTTCTCACCCTCAGCATCAGTCACATTTTATGTTGATAATCTTGCAGTGTGTGTGTGTGTGTGTGTGTGTGTGTGTGTGTGTGTGTGTGTCCCTTGTGGTACGTTTAGCAGTATCCCTAGCTTCTGTACCAGTACTGTTTTATGCTCAGTCTCAATGACCAGAAGTGCCTTAAATATTGTCAAATTATCTCTCGGGGACAAACCTGTCTACCAGCTTTCTTATGAACTCAACATAGACTTGCTTTTGCATTTGTTAAATTTAAAGAAAGTTATATTTTGAAGTTCTTATTTTGGTGACATTGTGGCTATATAGAATTGCCAAAAGTTGTTTATTGTATGCCTTAAATAGATGAATTTATTGTACACAATCATATTTCAGTATGATAAAGTTCTTTAAAAATAAAACTGTATGTATTATTGGCTAATACACTCACAGTTTTCCTACTCTCTTGGTACTGGACATGTATTTTGGATATACAGTTTAAACCATAATTTTGTGAACACTAGCAGTTTTTCCTAGCTGGTTGTTTTCCACAAAGGGGGGCTATACAATGGGCTTAGTCCCATACAGGGAAAAATTATTGCGACTGTTTTGTACCACTGAATTTTATAAAGTATCATCATGCCCCAAAATAGCTGCCAGTGGTCAATTCAAGCTGTAAAAAGAAGCGTCAACTAATGCGAAGAATGAAAAGGTAAGTTAGCCCCTGAAGAAAAGGGACTAGTGGTTCTGAAACCGAAGTGGACCGTCATTCTGTGAGTTCACATTTGCATTTGGGCTGATGTTGTATGACTGGTTTCAGTGAGCAGCATACATCGCAGGTGTGTTAATCCCAAATCTAAGATCACAGTCCGGCAAGCAGGAGACTTCGATATTTAACAGTGCTATTTTCAATACTCTCCTCCTCTGCTCCTGTAAGTACTGTATTTCAGATCTACAAGCAAGAAACTCAACTTAATTTGGCAAATCTTTATAGAAAGCTTATTAGGGCCTTGTGGGAATTCAGTACAACATCCCTGAACTCAGGAATCACGAGGAAGACTGAAATAATTTAAGAGAAACAAGAGAGTGTGGGGCCCTGGGAAGAGTTCTTATCACGGAGACTTAAGGCTTAAATCTCCATTTGCTTCTGGGGAGACTCACAGTTCTGGTTCTGATGGGATCTTTCAGGAATACAGTTTATCATACCCCACTCGGAGTATTCTGGGTCAGAAATTTTAGGAAGAAATGAGGGATGTCAATCTTTGTAAAGCTCTTCTAATGACTCTGACGACCAATTAGGCTTTGGGAGCCATGGATGCTAACAACCCTCTACTCAAACCTCACGTTCCCTCCACAGTGTTCTTCCAAAGTTTTTGTTTGTAAGATTTTTTATATTTTTAATTGTGTGTTTGTGTGTGAGTATGTGCTCTTGAGTGCAGGTACACTTGGAGGTTAGGGGAGGGTGTTGGGTTCCCTGGAGCTGGAGTTATAAGCATTGTGAGTCACTGGGTATGTCCTGGGAAGAATAGGAAGCCTCTTAATTGCTGAGCTGTCTCTCTAGCCCCATCTTCTAATGTTTTTGTTTACGTCATTCTTCAAGGCCCGTATGTCGTAAGGCATCCCTCTTGGGGAAGTGTGTAGGGTTTTGGTGGTGAGAAATGAAACATAAAGGTATCTGAGGCCAAGTGGATATCAGAAATAGTCAGAAAATGAGGAAGGTGAGTTTGGAGAGGGAACTTAGAGAGACTAAATGTGGAGGTAGAGAATTTCAGCTTGTGTGTGTGTGTGTGTGTGTTTGCATGTGTTTGAACTCAGTTCATCAGGCTTGGCTGCAACTTCTTTTATCTGCTGAGTCATCTCCGAGCCCAGAGAATTTCAACTCTTCCTATGATTATGATCTCACTGAGCATAAGAAACAAATGGTTTGGGAATCAATGAGAACGGAAGTAGAGAGAGGGGTTGGAAGTTTAATTTAGGAGTTCAACTGAGAAGGAATACAGATTTGGGTTGAAAGCAGTAGGGATAGACCGAGTAAGACAACATGAGTCCAGGAACCACATGCTGGGGACAGATAGTTCTGCAAAGTTAGACTGATCAAGGGTAAAGACAAGCCAATGCTAATTTTAAGATGCAGAGCTTCCTGGGCTGCCAAACCCAGGACATCAGGATCCACAGCAGGTGAAAATACTTAGGGCAAACCTAGTGTTTGAAAATGCATTTGACTCCATCACTTCCTATAGATCTTACTCAATCACTCAAGATAGTTCGTTGTAACTCCTTGTGAATGTTCCAAGTGCATAAAGAGCTACTGCAAATACTTCTGAGTTCACTAGTCTCCTTACTTTGGTTTATTTCTCACTTAAAGAGTTGTGTGAATTGGAACAAGGCAACCTCTCTGGGTTCATGAATTAGAAAATGAGCATTATTCTGCATAGATGCAGCCCTTCAATATTTGGGAAATAGGATATACCACTCTAGGAAGATAAAAGATGAAGGGGCTTGGAGAGCTGAAACAGAGGTGATATTATAGGGCATGCTTACATTTTCACCTGGCATAGAACACCCTAGAAATGTCTCCCAAGTGGGAGACATTTAATCCTACCCTGCCGTTTGCACTGGACCTATCCAGAGTCCTTACTTAAAAAAAACAGTCTAAAATGTAATTCACATCACCTTTTACTTAAGCCTGTAAGGGTTTCCCTTACTCCTTCAAGGAACATTCTAAAGTCCTTGACATGTAATAAAATTCATTTTAGGAAAGCTTCCCAGGTACCCTCCCACCATTCACCTCTCCAGCTGCAGTTCCCTGAATGTACAAGGCACAAGCAAGATTTACTCAGAGTCTAACAGGCTGCTTCTGTCCCCATGTCTGTCCCTACTTCCTTAGAAGACCAGACTTGTGGTTTCTCTAAGATTTACCCAACTCATCTTATGGCAGTTACTCCCTTTTAAATATAAATTTCAGTGTAGAATGGTACCCTCCTGCTGCATCCTTCCTCCTTTTGGTGACACCTCAGCTCCAACATCTTCCAGGCTGTGGCTATCCTGCCTTCCTATCTGTGACTCTTTTTGAGGATGTGTTTTAGTCATGTGTTTTTCCCCAGCACCAGGATTAAGGCACCTGGTCCAGGCTTACTGAGTGGAAAATGATGACGTACATAGATATTTCAAATGGACAAACAAACAAACAAAAAACCCCAAATACCAAAAACCCCAAAACAACAACAAAATCCCCAAACCAAAAAAAAGCCCCCAAAAGTTTTGCTACTTTCTGAACATGAGATATTCTGTCAGCTTTTGAAGTATTTTTATTTTCCATACTTCTCTATAGTTTTGGTTATTTCTATAGGAAGTTAATGTCTATGAGAAGTAATCACTTTGGTTTGTTTTGCTTTCTAGGCTACCATTCAAAGCTAGTTTATTCAGCAGACATATTTATTTTTTGTAAGATGTTTTAAAACACACTGCTCACAGAGTTAGTAGTTCATTCAAGTTCTTTACAAACATTTCAACTATATTTCATTAAAATACATTTACAAGATGGAGATCCCTGTCCAATCTTCCCTGGACTGAAATGCCACCAATGATGTAATTGACAGTGGTTTTTAATTAGTGGTGTTCAAACGCTAGAGCAGCCTGTGATTGATGGGCTTTGAGACACTCACATAGTCTATCAAAATATCTCATCCAGAATTCCCAGCTTGTTTTCTAATTCCCTCCCCCACTCTGTGTGTGTGTTCATGTGTGTGCACTCATGTGTGTACATTTTTGTGTGTTCTCCCTTCCACAAGGGCTGTGAAGAAGCTGAGAGAATGTGGTCAATAAAAAAGAAACAAGTGTAAGATACCACTTACACATCAGTAAAGATCACGAGAGGCAAATCATAGCAGTGGGAGGTCTAGAGGGAGAAACACAGCATGACTGTGCAGCTTCAGGGCTGGCTCAGCTGCCTCTGCTTTCTTAGCACAAGATCCCAAACAGCTCTACAGTTCCCACTGTATATAAGAAAAAGATATTTGTTAATTTTTCTTCAGAGGAGCATGATGCTAATGATAAAGGAAGCTACATGCATGGTGCACAGGTTTATGTTCATAGATGTTTGTTTATTTATTTACTTGTCCTTTTGGCAGTCATTTAAAATATCCCCAAGACTTGGGGGAAATGGTTCGTCAGTAAAGAACCTGCCGTGCAAACAAGAGGTCCTGAATTTGATCCCCAGCCTCCATGTAAAAGCTGGTTGGAGTCCCCAGTGCTAGGGAAGTTAAAACAGGAGAATCCTTGCATGCTTGCCAGTCTAATCTAAATGTGAGCTCCTGGTTCATCAAGAGACCTTTCCTCAAAAACTAAGTAGGAGGGCAACTGAAGAAGACACCTGATGTCCATCGACCTCCACTACTACATGTATACACACAAGCATGTGCCCTCTCCACCACCCCCACTTGCACACGC